TAAAGGTATAAAACAAAGATTGTAATGGTTTATAAATAAACTTACGTGCTCAGATACTATTTTTTGCATCGTGCAGATACCATTATCAGAAAGAGGAACAACTTTGCGTTCCGGTATTTGTATATCTTTGACATTCTTGGTTCTTCTTTTGGACTCTTGTATATAATTTTCTGACTGAGTTAATTCTACAATGTCATGTGGTACATCCAAGAGCAAAGGTCGCTTTCCCCTTTGACTAGGAGCCAATGATCGAATCTTGCATCCATACAAAAAAAGAGATACATTATATAAATACAAGATACAAATATATAATCTACTTTATTCTTGTTTAATTCCATGTAATTCATTAAAAAATATGGATTTTGGTTAGATGACTAGTTAGATATTTGGTTAGATACTTTAATTTAATTGATTCGATAGACACACTTAGCTTTTTTTCTTTCTTTCATTCTGAATTATTTTATCAATATATATAAATTACAAGTTATAAACATAGTTCACATAACCCTATTCCATATATTGAACTGAAATTTCCAAAAATAATACGTTAAAAGTAGAAAAGAAAAAATATAAGTATCTTGTAAATTATTACCATCTCACGCGTTCAAACACTCATTTTATTTGAAAATCAGCTCGCTTACTTCATTATTGCTAATGATAGAAATAGCGCGAACCAGTAAAAAGAGTAAGCAACATCCTTTTCAAATCATTTCAAATTCAATCAATGGGCAAATTCAAGACGGCAAAGCATTCTTGCCGAGCGATTGAATATGATTGGTTGGATCTATAAGTAACAACCAATTATGTTTATGTGATCGACGAGCAGGTTAGCCGCTTTGTCAACTTGAACGCGCCTAATCTGGCAATTCTAGCCAGATTTTCACCGATTAACTATCCAATATCCGGACAGCCAATCAGCGTTTTCAAAAAATAATGGCTGATGTGCTACGACATAATACATGTTCCATCTTTCATTGTAGTTAAAGCGGCAGATTTAAATTTAAAGAAATTAAAATTTATTTTTCCTCGTTATTAATTTAAATATATTTTTTAGTTTATTATTTTTTAATTTAGATAATTTTTCTTTTGCTCAATAACGAGTAATATTTAACGGTTTAATAATAATATTAAACGAGAATTGTAGCTATTGTTAAACAAAGATGCTTTCTCAATCTGCACACTTTTAAATTCTTTCAATCTGAACTCTCTGCCAAAATTTGTGAACAAAATGTTCACTAATTACGAATGTATAAACAAGGAAATTTAATATTGGTATAAAAAAAATTAAATAAACGATTTTAAAGACAACAATTCTCCTTTAATTCTCTATTTCTAACATATACAGTTCTGTCTTTTACAAGACGATACACGACGATGTTTCGCTCAAAACATTCTCTAGAGATAACTGTACATATTGTGTTAAATATCTCTCCTTCAGATTGATTCAAACGCAAAGAATCTTATATATGTGAATTTCGTTGTGGAATGTTGGGAACGCACAAATACAACGTAATCAAAGATTCCTCTATGCTTTTCGTCTACGTTAATACTGTAAGATATATTACACTTTACAATAATTGGCGTGAATGAGCAGTAGCTCTAAAGCAAAACACATCCTCAAATATTGAAACAATATTATATCCAGTGTTTATTATAATAGATTCCAGAGATAATATATGTAACCTTGGATCTGTAACTTGCAACTTTCACATGCAAGCTCATAAATTGTTTGTAATTTTTCAGTTTACTTTATATATTAATATCATTACTATCCATTTTATACTCTCATTACACAACATCAAAAACGGTATACAATCCTGTAAGCTTGTAACGTTAATATTTTTTAGCCTGCAACAAAAGCGCATTACTTCTTCCTTTTTTTCTTTATTATCTGATAATGTATACACCGTTTAACTATTCTCTTTAATCATTCTCTTATCACGTTACATCGATCTTTTTTGCAGATACAGGAGTGTTTTAATGTCGAAGAGAAGATAAATCGGATTTGTACGCGCAATTCCATTAAAATAAGTTTATGCATAAGACGAGAGAAATAAAACGATTTAATGACGGGAATCTCTCGGATAGAATTCCGCGAGGGTGCTGGCTGGGATTCGCTTAAGCATCTCCTTGGGGAAGATTCGCAAAAGCTGCCAGCCAATGTCCAATGATTCAAAGACCGTGCGATTTTCGTAGCTGCCTTGCGAGATAAAATTTTTCTCAAATTTCGATAGGAATTCCAAGTATAACAGATCATCTGGCGTCAACGCCTCTTCTCCCACGACGGCTTTCATCGCCTGAACATCTTTTCCAATAGCGTAACACGCATACTGAAAAAGATATATTTACAATTATAAAAAACAATTATGAGTAAGTATTTTTAGAATAATTATAAAAACGAGAATTGTGAAAAAGTATAACATAATTTTATTTCATATATTAAAAATATTCTTATAACTTTTTTCGTAATTTACATCAACTCACCAATTGGTTGGACACATCAGAGTGATCCTTTCGCGTCATACCCTCGCCAATGGCAGATTTCATGAGACGCGACAAAGACGGTAACACATTCACGGGTGGATAGATTTGCCTATTGTACAGCTGACGATCGACATAGATTTGACCTTCAGTGATATATCCGGTAAGATCGGGAATTGGATGAGTGATGTCATCGTTCGGCATAGTAAGAATTGGGATTTGCGTGATGGAGCCATTGCGTCCCTCCACACGGCCGGCACGCTCGTAGATCGTGGCGAGATCGGTGTACATATAGCCAGGGAAACCACGTCTACCTGGTACCTCTTCACGTGCGGCTGAGACCTCACGCAACGCCTCAGCATACGAGGACATGTCTGTGAGAATAACTAGCACGTGTTTCTCGCATTGATAGGCCAGAAATTCGGCTGCCGTTAGGGCAAGACGAGGCGTGATGATTCTCTCGATCGTCGGATCGTTGGCTAGATTCAAAAACAGGCACACATTCTCCATAGAGCCATTTTCTTCGAAGTCCTGTTTGAAAAAACGTGCAGTCTCCATGTTGACACCCATAGCCGCGAACACGATGGCGAAGTTGTCCTCATGAGAATCGAGAACTGATTTACCAGGCAATTTTACAAGACCTGCTTGACGACAGATTTGCGCGGCAATCTGTAAAGTAAAAATTGGAGGGTGAAATCTTTTTGTTTTTTAGAATGCCAAAGTTACAAAATTTGTATCACAAAAAACTGAATTTTAAGTGTACATGTCCTATAAATATATATATCTTATAGGAAGTATACATATCCTATAAGAGATGTACATATATATATATATATATATTCTCTGCGAATTAAAAGCAAGCAACAAAAATATATACTTCATTATGCGGCAGACCAGCAGCGGAGAAAATAGGAATCTTTTGGCCACGAGCAATAGAGTTCATAACGTCGATGGCCGATATTCCAGTTTGAATCATTTCCTCTGGGTAGATACGAGACCACGGATTAATAGGCTGTCCTTGAATGTCCAAATAATCCTCGGCAAGGATAGGTGGTCCTTTGTCAATTGGTTTTCCCGAGCCATTGAAAACACGGCCCAACATGTCCTCGGACACCGGAGTCCGCAGAATATCACCGGTGAATTCACAGTGAGTGTTCTTTGCATCAATGCCAGATGTACCCTCGAAAACTTGGACCACTGCTTTAGAGCCAGAGACTTCCAAAACTTGACCGGAACGTAAGGAGCCATCAGCGAGCTTCAATTGTACAATTTCAGCAAACTTTGGAAATTTCACTTCGTCCAATATCACTAATGGACCATTTACTCCAGATACTGTTTTATAAGCTAAAAAAAACAATTATTGTTAACTTTGTATTTATCTTAGACATATAAAATTGAGGTATAAATTGATATTTGTATATAAATTTATATAATAGCAATAAATAAAAATACACTGTACATATGGCAATAAACATTTTTTATTATATTAAACTAAACCTTTTCCAAGAATAATTCTAAGAATATAATTCTATTTACATCGATTACAAAGCCTTCATTAATTTATAATTATCAAAATTATTTTAAATGTATTATATAATATCCATATATTGTTCAATATTTGTTCAGCATTTATATTTCCTTCAAACTGTATTATATTATAATTTCATGAATACTATCAGTATTGTAATAAGGTTACGCCCATAGGTGAAAATATCACAAGAGTATTTAAATACCTTTCAATTAAGAAAAACAACATTTCGGAAAATTATTTTCTTATCTTCAAAATAAAAAAACTGTCTTCAGACTATTCTAAACTTTTTAAAAATACTTAAAGAGCAATCAAAAGTACGTGACCACAAAGGCCATTCAAGCAAACACGAGTTGCTCATGATCACATGATGCTGGCTCGAGGGAACTTCGAAAACGATAAAATCCGCGAGTGTTCTTGGGGAATCGTCTCCATCCCTCGCAGATTCGCAAATTCATGGGAGGATGACGGCAATCTCATCTCTTAGGACTGCGCGTAAGAAATTGTCGAAAAAAAATGCAGACAGAATTTCAAGTGAGATCAGCTGACTCCAAGTTCGGGAATCGATCAGATGCTACGCCCAATCGCGGATGCCCTACGTATACGAACGTCTCCACCTCGTCACCATCGACGTGGACGCTACTTACTGAGACGAGGCTGCGCGATAAAATCCCGGGACACGGCGAGCACGTGCTCCTTATTCGCCTGATGATTGCTGATGGTCTTGGAATACATCTTGGGGGAAACTTCTTCTTAGAACGTTTCACACTCGCACGTTATCCACCACTGTTCCCTCCGATGTCTCCGATCCGTCGAAGAGCAGAAGATACTGCTTGGCTGCGTTGACGGAGAGATAGATAGAGAGAGAGAGAGAGAGAGAGAGAGAGAGAGAGAGAAACGGATTGATGCGACTGCAAAAGGAGGAAAGAAAGAAAATGGATAAATATACTGAAATTGTGAAAGGAAACCTCGGAAGTGACTTTCTCGGATCTCGTGTCTTAGAATAAATCGTGTTCCTTGGAATAAATCGTGAAAGACAATATAAATATATGCTTGGAAAAAGAGAAAGAATAATAGTAGTGGAGGTGGGAGAGATGAGAAAAGGATAGAAGAGGAGGCACGTGCAATCACGTGGCTCGGACTAGGTGAATCGTTAAACATTCTCTTTGAACCAAGTTCGAGGAAAAGTCAATTGTTTGATATGAAGGAAAGATATGGGAAATTAAAGAGAGACATCAATGTAATTATTTGTATCCACGAATGAAGAATCCTTGCGATTCCTTGATGTTTTTCCCGTTTCTCGTTGTCAATTGATGACAAAAAATGGCGGTTTCTTCAATGAGTAATGATGGTTGCGTGTCTGCATCGCGGTACCAGCGAATTATCACCCGAGTATGTATTTTGAATTATAATTGAGATAACGATCAGTTTCTACTATCTATTCTAAAAAAATAGTTTTCATAATAAGTTTTCATAATATAAATTATATATACAATATAAAATTATTTTTATTTCTTTATATATATCTATCAAAATAAATTAATTTAATTTGATGATTAGGTACTTTTATATCATTTCATACAAATTATAAACGATAAAAAATTATAAATGATTCTCAGAATGCAATGTACAGTTTACGAAGCTATTGCTCTCGCAAAATGCAAACATTTCTGTAAAATCTCCAATTTAAGAAATATGTTTGATTGCATGATGGAAGACAAAGCATCTTGCTTGCCGGGCAAATAAACATGATTGGTAATATAATTTGCTTACACAAATTTAATGAAAGTGAAGTTGAAGTTGAAATTTTGAAGTTGAAGTTTCCATTTTCTTTTCAGGCAGTATTGTCGCAGTATTAATTGTGGTTTTAATTATTGCAGATTTATCATTCATCTGAGAAAATGAACAAATTATTAAGGGAGGTTTTATCTTTGCCGGCCGTAAAATTAGCTCAGTTTTATGAATTTAAAAAAAAAATTCATTATATACAGAACAATACAGAATTTTGCATAAAATTATGTTATGTTTAAATAGTAAAAAAATATTTTTTAGTTAGATGAATATGCATTTTAATGTCTCCAAATTGCAATCGAATTAGGGGGTTTTCTGCAAAAACATCTCTTTATAACGGAAGTAATATTGACTCTGCAAATCATCTGAAATCAAAATTTTTTTCATTTTTATTAATTATATGAGTGCCGCTATGGCATGAATTAAAATAATGTCAATGCTTGAAATTTGTAAAAATGGTGGCATTAAAAAAAAATTAATTTTTTTTTCCTAAAAATATTTGTACTTTTTTGTGAATAATAAATTGAATTATTGTAAAATCATGATTATAGTTTGTGCTATGCGCAAAAGTATTAAGATCAAGAAGAAAAAAGAATTAAGTCGATATCTTAATTCATTTTTTAGTTATCAGTTCCGAAAATCAGAAAAATGTGATTTTGAGAAAAATGCGTTTAAAGTTTTAGTTTGATTTTTTACACATATATATAACAAGTTTTAGTGCTTATGATTATAGTATAATACCAGGGCTAGATAATAATCCTTTCTCCTCTGCATATAATTCGTTTTATATCATCTCTCCAATCACCGAGCTATTTTGGCTTCTCTTGATAATTCTGATGTACAGTACGACGATTTGCATTGGTAAGCGTTCAGAGGCCCCCTGCGCTTTTATGTATTTGAACTCAGTTAATATTGCAAATTAAAAAAATTCTTTTACAGGGATATTTTACACACATGTAAGAACCAAAATAAGGAAAAAAATTTTCGATTTTTTTATGCCTACAAAGGTGAAGGTCCCCCTTAAATTATATTGTGTTTACTGCGCGTTCGGCAAAATATGACATGCAATATAGTAGCCATTAAAAAATCATATAAAATAATACACTCGAATCTTGACTGTTGAAGCTTATACTTGTATATCATCGCTGATTCATGATATTAAATTCAACACTGCATCAGATTTTAATTTTTTTTTTCTATATCAGTGCGAACATCCTAAAAGAAGTTGCATCTATAAATAAGATTTTTTGTATGCTGTTACATTAAAATGAGAGGAACGGATGCGTCCTACATGAATAAAATTAATATTATTAAAACATAACATTAATAATTCATATAACATTAACAATTCACAGTTAATAATTAATATTAACATTAATTAATTATATATTATATATTTTTTACGTAACATTTTTAACATTGACATTTTTTGTTCCACTTTAGAAATCGACAAAATGTAAATTTATGCATTTTTTTTTCGTCAACTATCTTTATTACACGTTTTTATTTGATACGTATCACCGTACTCATTTTTGCTCATTTTTATGATATGTCATTTCAAAGTTACCACGAAATATTTAAAATGGCAGAATTTATGCGCAGAACGGTACGAATTCGTCTCGAAAACAAGCATATATA